CGTTATAACGTTTCTATTAATGACAGTTAGATATTCCTGTATTATATTATTATTTTACACATAGCTTACCTAAACTTCTTCCCACTCGTAAGACTGTCTCTAGTACGAAATCCCAATTTGGTAAAATTGAACAAATGATAGTAAAAATCGGTTTTTTTTCCTTTCGGGTAATTTGGTATGCCACATTGTTTCACTAGTCTCCACAAAGCTTGAGCATCAATTTGGATTGATTTTATCTGAACGGAATATATAGGCGCAATGGAAAAAAAGCGACATCCTATTTTATCAGTGTATTTAGCAGGAGTGAATGTGACATCTTATATTCTTGTTTTAACTGTATCAATAAAATTTTGAACTACTGATACTTGTTGAGGAGTAAGCTTGGCTAGTTTTTTTCCTGGGGCAAACGTCTTGTAGGAATTGATTGACTTCAGTGTTCTTCTCTTAAAGAATTAAAATTCTTTTTGCTCAAAACATCAGTGAATGGAAGCTCTCTGAATTTACAATACACATACACTTTGGAAGCGACTTTTGAGGGTACGTTTTCCATAATAAAAACTTTTTTTTGCACTTCTTGCGACAGAAAGTAGAACCACTTGAAAAACAGGTGAGGCTTTGAATAAAGCGTATCGGAATCACATTGATCTGGTTGGTATTTAGACCACATGCTTGCTATGCTTTCAGTGAATTCTTTATAGTAGTTACTGCATGGGACAGAAGATGGCCAAGATGGCTCTGAACCTTGTTTTTGTTTGTAAATGAAATATACCAAGGCTTTTCTGGAAGTCACTGAGAGCTCTTTACAACAGTTACTTGAATTGTTGTCAGACATCATATTCAGAAAGTACGCTATCGATCTTTGTTCGTGTGTCTCGTGAATGTGATTTCTAACCAGGACTTCGTATTGCTTACCAGCAATGGAAAGAATACTTGAATAGTTTATACTTTTTAAAGAGTCGCGGTCTACAGTTGTCAATTCACAGAAAAGAGTGAAGTATTCTTTGAGATAGTTTGGTGCTCTCTTTCCATTTCCAGTCATTGCCGCAAATATATTTGTGAATAAACTTTGTTCAATAATTGAAATAGCCTGACCATCATCGAGCAGTTTGATGAAGATGAAATTGGCAAAAAGAGATCTAACAAACAAAACTTTGGTGGTATAATCTGCTAGATCCTTGGTATGCTGAACAAGTTGTTGATTGTTACAAACATTAGGTAAGGATGTCTTGCTTACAAAGTTTTCAACCCTTTCATCAGGGCTGCAAACAGGTACTTTTGCTTTCTTGTTTGGGCACAAGTTATTCGTTGATCGCGCATGTGTTGTTAACCCACATGAGGAGCACTTGACTTCCTTTAGAGTCTTTTGCTCTGTTTTGAATTTTAAAAGTGCATTTTGCTTATCAATCTTTTGTTGTACCTTTTTCGAAAGCCCTGGTCTACTTGAGGAAGAAGAGGCACCTCTTGATTTACTGTGCTGGAATAATTCACTTCTTGAGTTGGTGCTACTGTACCTATACCAGAATAATGTTAAATATTGACTGATAATGAACAAGATTGAATACTTTACATTCATTTAGCTTTGCGCCTTTTGAAGGTCTCTCTGAGCTGAATGATGTAGAATGTCTTTTCATTTGAAGCAAAAAGAAGAGCAAAAAGTGAAAGAGATTATTGTTATTCATTTATCAAAATTCATTTAATCAATAAAATCACGTCCTTTTCTCAGGTCCAATAAACTTATGCTGTCGTAACATTTGGTATCGGCTTTAGCGTGTAATCAAACAACTCAGTGAATACAGTAACAGAAGATGATCTCTATTATAAATATAGCTTGAAGGATGTGTACTGCCTCTTCTTTAGGCTTTACTCACAAATATACTTTTATTCAACCAGTCAGATTGCGAATGGTGCTACGGTTGTTTTTTATGAGCTTCGGTTTAAATATTCCTATTTCAGTCTATAATACTAGCCGCTTCCAACTCGCTACGCTCTTTTTTGCACGTCGTCGTGCTGCCACAAGCTTAAGGGCTTCGCCCTTTATGATGAGTAAGGGCAAATGTTAATACGACTCTTTAAGCGAATGGCTAAATTTGAATTTTTGTGCGCCTAACAACATACTCCAACTCCTCTCTGCATGCTTATTTATTAATGCAATAGTGCTGCATACACGGTTTCATAAAATTGTTTATTCATAATAGAGAGCATATATTTTAATAATATTATTTATAAAGGTTTATGTGTTGAAAAGAATGGCATAGTTATAAAGCATTCATAACTGTGAGCATAAGTTTGTTTGGTGATCATAAAATGTGTTACATAGATGGATATATTAATATATTAGTGAAGTAATAACTCTGGGTAGACAACATTGTTGGCTGTATTTGAGCTTTCTGGTAGAAGGACTGAGATGCCAGAAAGAGAGGTAACTCTTGAAAGAGCGACATATAGCTGACCATGCATAAACGGCGGACGCCGCAAGCCAACTCCTGCATATTTAAGTGAATGCCCTTGTGATTTGTTAATTGTCATAGCAAAGCATAGCCTGACAGGAAATTGGTTTCTTGTTAGAATGAATGGCAAATCACATTCTTGCGTTGAGAGTGTAAACCGAGGTATAAGCTCTAATGAGCCATCCGGCTTATTGGCTAGGCGAACCTGAAGCATATAGCTGCCAATTCGTACGACAACCAGGCGAGCGCCATTGCATAAACCTTTTGCTGGGTCAATGTTTCTTAATAACACTACTGGTGCGCCAGCTTTGAGCTCAAGCTTAGATGGAGGCAAGCCGGTAGGGTTTAAACTGTGTAAACCATCGGCTTCATTAACACCAGCAGAGTCTGTAGACAGAAGTGTAACCTTTTCGCCAGCCATCTTATTGAGAACAATGTCGTTGATTCTTCCAACTGTGTCGTTTCTGGTAGTTAATATGGCCCTTTCACCAAAAAATTGACCATTGTTTATCGACATAGAGTTACTGATTTCTTCATCTTTATAGACTTTGCTGATAAATTCATACAGTTGTTTGGTCTGATAGATATAGCCAGGAAGTGTAATTGAATCATAAAACGTATGGTTATATGAAATGTCTGCTATAAATCTTGTACATAATATAATAATAGTTAGAGTGATGTGTTATAATAGTGTGTTAATGTGTGTTAATGTGTTAATATAAGTGTGTTATATGTTACGTGTTATAGAGTGACAGAGGAACAGAGTAATTAGAGTGATATTAGAATATATTTTTGAAATGGGGTGTCAATAGTGGCATGCTCTCTCGTGAATCCCTTTTTGTACAGTATTTTGAGTTCGGATTCAGACTTTTTTCTTTTTTGGACACGAAAAAAATAATAACGTTGGCGAAACAAAGACAAAGGATGTGGTTACCCGCCCAAGTTTTTTCAGTTGGTTAATGAACCGCAAGTAAAAAGAAATTCCCGTCCCTCATGTCTTCAAATCACAAAAAGCTTGAGCGCGACCTTCAAGGTATAAAGGAAATACAATGAAAATTTTATCTAATAATGTATAATATTGAAAATAAAACGCGGCCTGGAGGACTATAATCACATCCTTTGTCTTCGTTTCGCCAACGCTATTATTTTCAAAAATAGAAATCAAACTTTTTTCCTGGCCAATCAAAATATTCATAGTCCATTCAAATTTTTCGCCTACTAATCAAAGCTTGTCACCATTCAATTTTTTGAAGTGGCACAGGCGTTGTATTCAGCTTTAGTGCTATTGAAAAAAGGCAGTTAAGTCGATGACTTGCGAATTAAATTCTTTACTAAGAAGAGCTAAATATCATTAAACTAAGTTTGGGTAGAGAATCTATGGCTGCTATTCATATTATTGTCGTCACTGACATTATTTATGCTTATATTGTTATTGTTATACTAGTAGCTACTATAGTTGTTATTATAAGTTATTCTTATCAGATACGACAGAGGAAGGTAAAATAGAATGTATGCTCTACTGTAAGATTATACTCGAGTTATTATAATGATTATCTCATCAAACACGTCAACAGGTACAATAAATGTTTACTCCAAACTGAAGGCGACGTTTTATTGTTATGATATTTTATTTTCTGATTGGGTGATGGAACGGGTATATATAAATTAAACCTCTTTTACGGTGGTTGTAAGGGCTGAGTTTACAGTTGCGTTTACAGATGTTCCCTTTATTATTATTCAGTGTGACGTCTCTGCCAACATATCTAACCTCTGGAAAAGTCAGAATAACAAAGCGCATTATGAGAGATCCAAAAGTAATGGACCACATTACTGAGGTAATAACTAAAACTAGAAACGACTATTTCAAGGGTAATTGTAAATGGAGAGATGGGCCCCGTTCAGATATAGTTCTTGATCTTGAAACCCAAATCCTTTTCTTTAAAACTCCTTCCTATCATCCTGGAGACCTAGCATACGACAAACAATAAATTCAAGAGAAGGGCCATCAATTACTGTCTACAAGACAATTCAAGATACGATGTAGAGCCCATTATTCTGATCATATGTGTGGGAACACTTCGTAATAAAACAAAAAATAAAACAATCAGCACACAGTCGAAAGAGATAGTTTATAATGTTACCTTCTAGTGTCATGCTTTAGAAACGAAGCGATTGATTCAAGAAATGGTTGGATTGGCTAAAAGACCAAGGGCTTTGGGCTCACCTTGTACCAAACATAACGGCTTTATCCTGATGGAGTATGGCTCACGCTTTGCTGGATTCCCTTAAACCAATCAACCATTATACAGGTTGCTAAAGCAATTAAATAGAACCTGGTGTCATATAGTTAATTTAGCATATTATGAACAGGTCAAAATAAAAATAAATCAAAGGCGATTTTTAAGGGAGATTCTTGGCGCACTCCCAGATTTCAAAATAGTGACGTTGCATTCTCTTGGAGTAGTGTGCGAGGAGTGTGTGCTTTCTATTTCTGTTACATGATCCCGTAACTTTTTATGCTGATTCCATTAGTATAGAAATCATCACGAACGCGATGATCCTTATAGGCGTAAGCCACTGACAACATGTTAAATCAATTAAGGAAGTGTTATGTGTATTCAGACGCTTCAAAAACCCATTTTTTGTGAAATAAGATGGTATAAAACCGTTGTTAAACAGCTATTCATTTACTATTTTATATTCAGTCCAATTAAGCAAGTAGTGGCTCATAGGAGTAAGATATAAGAATATCAAGTGTGTCTATTTATCGTAAAATTGTTAATATATGCAGTTGTAGTTATAAATTAAAAAACTATGGAATAATCTCTAGCACAGAGAGTTGGATTTCTTTTGACGAGTGCTTTGTGATATGGGTTTAGAATTGGGATGGGGAATTTTACTGGCCTCCCAGTCTTTGTTCGAGCAGTTTCTATCAAATAGAAGTGATTGTGATCCAGTAAAATATTAATGACAGTGTAGTTAGTTGGCTCAGACGCAAGAGGTGCAAAAAAGCTGCTTGTTTTAAACGGTTTGCCATTAAATGAAGTCTTTGAAAAGATGGCAATACCGCGAACAAAAGCGTCAGCAGCGATCTGCGTACAGTCAGTAATGTTGAACCAATACTGGATTGGGCATGGCGATAGGTTACAAGATAAGCTTTTTTCAAAGATGTCACTATCCTCCACTCGATTTACATATAGTGTGTCCTTGTACTTCTTATATGTTTTAAGCATCTGCTCCTTTACCTCCTTCCAACTATTTTGATTGCCATAAATTGCCATACTAATGGCTCTGTATCCACAGTTCCCATCTGCGTCAGGACTATATATTTTAGCCACCTTCTCAAAGCCAACTCCAAAGTCTTGGCAAAAGCTATTTACAATACCAGCATGTTCATTGTTTTCATAGGTGATGCTAAAAGTGTAAGAAATTATCGATAAGTTTTCCTTTAACATACACTGTTAGATAGATATGAGACCTACCTCATCTTATTGCTGTTCTTGCTAAAAGCATTTGCTTCTGTGCATGCACTATTGGTCTTTGTAGCATAATATATTAGCAAGCAATGGCTTTGGATTTACGCTTTCTAACTTACATCTGCGATTTGTCGTTTTTCGACTGTTTTTAATTTACTACCAAAAATGAAAAAGTGAATATTCTGTGAGACTATCTGAAAAGTATTACTTACATTATAAGTTGTTTTTCTTTCAATATCTTTTTTTCAAGTTCAAGCTGTGATTTTTTATACTCTAGTTTTTCTAATTTTTCTTTTCTTCGCTGCTTTTCTTTTTCTATTTTCATTCTTTTTGCCTCTCTTTTCTTTTTATCTTCTTCATATATCTCCAAAGCAATTGCTAATCTTTTCGTGTTTGGCTTTCTTCCTTTATTATTTGCATTTGTAGGTGGCGATAATATGTTTTCTAGTTTGTACTTTGGTCCAAGTAGTTTTTCTTTTAGGTCAGTCAACTCTTTAAGAGCATCAATAAGATGCTGTTGACAAAACATGGCCCTTGTGATAGCTTGTATATCTGTCAAAGCATTATTAATGTATACATGCAAGTCTGGAATTAGTTGTTCTGAAAAACATTACACATTAGTAAACAACCAAAATCTGTAACATGTCCATTAAAAAACGAGAACGTAGAACGCCTTACCGTTTTCTGCTTGATAATCTACAGGCTGTGCATCATTATTTTCTTCTTTACATGCAGCAGTGTCTGTTTCTTCAGGTGCATCTTCAATTTTTTCAAATTCATCTCCTTTTTCTTCGTTTTCTTCTTTATCGATATCTTCATCTTCTTTTTCATCTATCTTTTCATCATTCTCTTGTACTATTTCAATGCACTCTTCGTTTGCTAATTTTTTTTTTCTTCAGCTTCGACATCATCTTCTAAAATCAGAGTTAATGGCGTTAATTTTATAGTACATAAGTTTATTACCGTGATTAATCCACCATCGGCGATTGACTACGCTTAATGGTATAATATCATATTGGGACAAGATATGGAAGCATGGAATTTTGAAGTTCACAATACAGGCACAAGAGTCGCAGGTGTTTCTTTGCTGGCTAGATGGCTTTGTTCTGCCATATTCAACTTCCTTTCTGATTCTGTCTATCGCGAATCTTGTTATTTTAAATTCAAGTTGTTTAAACTTATATTCGGTTGATTTATCATACAAGCTTGCTTGTTTTCCAAGCATTTCAACTTGAGCTTGCCTTCTTCGTTTCTCCCTCTATTTATTTCAAGAAATTATCAATAGACCTGTATTTATCATGGTCTGCATATTTTCGTACCATTGCTGAATACCAAAAGCCTATCTTCGCAGTTATGGTGGATATCTTACCGGAAGAAACTTTTCCTAATGCAGTTTTTATTGCTGCATGGGCACTTTCTACTCTATTTGTAGATCTATTGCCAAGATGCGCATACCTGTTGGCATAGTGGCCAACCCAATGCTCACGCTCTTTCAACGTGCTTGATAAAAAAAAAAAGCATTACTATTTGCCCTCATTGTTTACCAATAGCTTTGATGTAAAGACTAACCTCTCCAAGTATTCTATGCCACTTGATCCCTTATCTTTGCAGTGGCCGGGAGCTTTTAAAAACTTCTTAAAGTTTTCAATGCTTTCATTCGTGTCTTTTTGAGCCTTGCAGAAAACAATTTTCTGGAATGCTTCCTCCAGTTGCAGCTCTAGAACTGTCCTATGGGCAGGGAATTCAGGCGTGAGCGAAGTTCCAATGTTGGTGATGAAGTTTCGTTTAAGATGAATGTAGCAGAGCAAGCTACCTGAAAAAGGAAACGCCGCTTTGATCACGTTACGAATAGCCTTGTCATTATCAGTAACGAATACTTCAGGATAATCGTTCTGGTAATTTGGCCAAATAGGCTCCCTTAACTGTTCGAAAACCCAGGTATACGTGGTCTCTGGTTCGTTACTCACTCACGCACATGCAATTGGAAACGTTTGCAGGCTTTCTCTACCAGAGTCAGTGCTTGTAACGTTTGATGTACCTACAATGTTGACAAAAGTCAACTTATGAACGTTTGCTTTGTATGTTGCATCCACTATGACAGATTCTGGCACCACTCTTGCTTCTTTGGTTGCTTCTTCATGAGTGAAAAATACTGAACAAATACGATTCTGTGAATCTACGGTGAATCGTACAAGGTAATTCTTCTCTTGAAGACTAGAGATGAAGGCGTATATTTCTTTGGATGATTCGCTCTTGAAAAAAATGTCTTTTATATTGTAAATATCCTTCTTCAAGACGTTATCTATGTCGTAGAACAATGTCTGCTTAAGGACTGACATTGAGATAAACGATTGTAATCAGTATGAATAGAGTGAATTCATACATTATAAGATTACGTGTACACACTTTTAGTGATAAGTCAAATTAAATAGAATCTCTCATTTAAATATGGATCATTACCTCTTTATATAAAAGGATATACTTCTTTAATTGTATGTTCCTTCTGTCTTTGTCTCAGAATAAAGAATAGTCTCAAAGAGTACTTCTCTTGTCTTTGTCGTGCGTCTTATAAACCATTACATAACAATCTATGCCATTCAAGAGCAATATCTGGATTGTACAAAATTAACAAAAAGAGCATTAATATATATTTTAAATAACTCACTTGCATGACCGTGTCTACTGGGTTTGGCGTAGGTAACGAAAGAGTTCGCATAATGAGATCCATTACCTCTTGAGATTGCTTTCTATGGATTGCGTAGATTGTACGGCATGAAGAAATAGGATGGTTATGCTTACCGCATGATCCAGAGACCCTCAGTCCGCCAGAAGGGGAAGCAGCAAGCTTGATAAAGCATTGGCACTCGTTCCTTTGGGTATCCCTGGTAACCATCTTTTTATTTAAGCCGTCTTCTTCAAAGTCACAAGGAGCGGCATCATTTGGTTGCTCATCTTCAGTTGCTACCTTTTTTCCTGGTTTATATTTACCAAAATGCTTGCAAGCCAAAGCAAGGTAGGATTTCTTTGCATTGGAGCGGACAGTAACAAGAACAACGTTCCATTTTTTACCAAAATCCGCGGCACCGCTGCGAGCTTCAGCAATGCTGGCATACTCACAATCTACACCAAATCTTTCAGAGAATTCAACATTCATATCTTTAAAGCTGTCTTGAACCAAGTTCACAATGTTGTTGTCGACGGCGTTGGAATTCATAGCTTAGGTTATATCTTGTAAATTAGATAAAAGAAAAGGAACAAGGGTAGCAAGTTTTTCCTTTATTATAATTAGTGTAATTAAAAACCAGCTTCTTCGAGCTTCAAAAGATATAATAGCTGCTATACTGCTCTTTTATGGTATACTCAAGGCGCATGAACAGTTCTGAATTTAAACATCCGAATCAGGAACAATGAATGGTCAAGCCTAAACACGCGCACTCCTCGCGCACTACTCCAAGAGAATGCAACGTCACTAATTTCGAGAATTAAAGTTGAACAAAAAAAAAATGCAACGTCACTATTTTGAAATCTGGGAGTGCGCCAAGAATCTCCCTTGCGTAAATACTTTTTTTTAATATGCATCAATCATTTTTTTCATACACGTCATAATCTTATCCTCTTTCTGAAACTTCTTTTTAATAAAACAGTAAATAAGAAATACAAAAAATAATAAAGATATTCGTTTAAAAGAGCAAATCAAGTTTTATCTAATTCATTTTTAAACGTGTTTAATACTGAGAGGGTAAATGAACTACGAGTCCTAAAATTGAGACACAGATATAACATTACATATCCATGGCAAATTGAGAAAAGGAAGAATAGATGAGAAGCGAAAGAGTTAGTTTCTGGCATATTCATTTGTCAAATTGAGTTTTACCCAAAGTAATAAAGCTGACGGCTTTATGCCTGTCTACGTTTCTTTTGCGGAAAGTGAGCGGCAAGATCTTCAAATTTGTCAGTATCTGACTGACTTTTTCTTGGGTTAAATTCAGGGAAGGGTACACCAAAAAGGAGAGTGAACAAACCAGCCAAGGCAATCGCAGTGGCACTAACCGTGTCTCGGACGCGGGTTGCCTTCCCAGCACAGACTGATTGGCATTTTGGGCTCGTGCAAACAAAGCTACCTTTTACTTGTTTAGGCTTAACTGTATTGTTTTTCCTTGTACCAGACGGTAAGGGTTGAGTAGCTTTTTGAAACAAAACAAGCAGGTTTGTGATGTATTATGCTCATTTGTTATGCATACAGTCGTGTACAGACTATCCTTGTTCGACTTCCAGTTGCCACCATACTTTAGGAAACCTTTAATCTTGGAGCCAATGCACAGACCTCTGTCACCGACAAACATGATCAGAAGACACTTTTTTGAAGTATTTTGTGATTGTTTGCACATGGATCTCTCATTTGAACAAAGACGGGCAATAAACTTTCTTTTCTGCAGCTCGTATGTTCTCTGACGTCGTACTCGAGCGTTTGAATAGTAAAAGTTTCTGAGTTCGTCACAATGCTGCTTCATTATGGAGAGCAAATTATCTTCTATCAGAATAATGCTTCCTAAGCTGCCGTTGCAGAATATCAACTTCTGCCTGCAATATTATTGATCTATCTGAAACCTCACGCTGGCAATCATCTATCTTTCTTTTCCTACTTCTTTCTTGCTGAGATGATCTTATAGTACCAGCAGGTGCTTCATTCAGCAAATAACCATTGATCCTAACAGTTTTAAGCCCACGCAAAGCATACATCTATGTGCAAATTTTAAGCCATAGCTGTTACATAAAGTATTGATTTCCTCAAGATCAAAAATAAATACAGAAACAGCATTCTTTGATTCAGTGGCAATTGAGCGTATAGTGATAGGGCTGCCTTCAGTGTTTATAAACTCCTTTTTTTTTTTTTAGCTCTGTTGGTCTTCTTCCTTGAGCAAAGCAAAGCGAATAGTGAAGGGGCATCTACTTTTAAAGCAAGAAAATTACGTGCTGTGATTAATGGCGTCAATATTACAGCAAACCTACTGTATCCACAGCTTCGAAGGAGGTCATCGGCCATAAAAAAAAAACGGCAACTGGTAAATGATATGATGTTGCCTGTTCCCAGGTGGTAGATGTGGCATTAAAAAATTTGTTATTAGCACATAAGCATCCAACTCTGCAGCTGTGATCTCCAGAAGTGCGCTCTTAAAATGCTGGCGGCAGCAGTTCTATCAAATTACTTTAAATATTATTTGCCTTATAGTTGATTTTAGACGGTTTAACCGTCTTCTAGTAATGTCAGCTTTCTGCTCGATGCTCTCATCTTCTAATATCGTTAGCTGCTGGGCCGCGGCAGGATTGGTATCAGCTTCTATGTCTAAAGACACTTTATTGTCAGCATCAGTCGCATCGCTTGTTTGAGCAGTCTGATTGACCATGGTAAGCTAAAATGCATATACTCTCTGTAAGTGGCTTTTCAATTAAAGCGTCAGGTTATCAAACTTGCATCAATTGATAAAGCTTGTATAGATGTATTTATACGCTTATCGCAGTTCATAGCCTTTGTTTTCCATTTACGCCTGCTTGCTGCGTCTTCCTGTGCATTTTGAAGGTACTTGTTTTGTTTTTCCTCTCATTCTTTATCATATTTCTTCTTGTATAATACAACTTTCTAGTTGTTTTGATATTGCCTTGCGCGGCAATCTCCTGTAACAGCAAGCTTCCATCTGGCTGGGGAGCTTACTACAGAAAAGAATGGGCTGTCTACTTTTCGATGGCGCTTCTTTGAATGAAGCTTGGACATAATTATATTTTAAAATTGGAAAAAAAAAATGCTTCTCTGATATACTTTGTAGGATACTTTTGAATTTTATCAGTAAAATTGTTCTTGTTATAAACAAGATAATACATACGTAGAAATTTAAGTATAATGAATATATCTTTTGAGAGCGAAAGAAAAAGGAGGAAGCCCATAATATCACTAAATAGTCTTTTGGTACCATTTCCTAAACGCACCAAAACAAGGAAATAAGAACTATGTGGAAGGCTGGCACTCCTTTGTGGTACCAGAACAACCTATTAAGTTGTAAGTCTTTCCTTTGTACCAAAAAAATAATAGTAATAACAACGAAATACCCAAATTCAACCATTGCAAAGACGACATCTTATAATCAGGGCAATTCATAATTGTTTGTAAGGTTCAGTCAATATGCTGCCAACAACCATACTAACCAGACCTTTTTTCATACATTTACTTAAATTTTTTGTATTATATATTATTGTGCTATGGTTATATTTTATTGTATAAGCATTAGAGATAATACATATTATATAGATTTTCTTTTAATATTTGGTGTTAATTATTGTTGTTGTTAGGCTCTTTCATTGCTGGCCTTAACTTATCAAGAAAGGCACCCATTCAAAAGTGATGGTTGACATCAAAGCAATGCATTCTGATATTCCTTGATTTTCCAGTAAAAATACTAATAAGAGAAAGCATAGGATAAGGATATGACTTACAGTAGTTTCAAAGACATCTGATGTTGAATTAAAAGTGTACCTTTCTTTTATAGTTTTGTTTTGAAGCCTTGGTGCCTTGATTTCGTTAATTACTATATTAAGAGAATAAGCCAGATCTCATCTTATTGGATAAACCATCTTCTAAATGCTATGAGCTACAGATGAGTCTGAAGGCTCATATATTGTATAGTGTTCTCTGAGAGGTTACCCTTTCTCGCTGTTCAAGATCGACAATTCTTTCTTTCTTCTTCCAAACTTTGTTCATAATCATGCGTAATCTGCTACTGCATTGAAATGTAATATTCGTTCTAGAATAAACAACAATAGAGGATCATGATATTCCTTTGTGCAAGCTATTTCTTTATTTTTTATAGACATCACAGGCAATGTTGCTCTCTCTGTTTATAGAAACATATAAGCCTAAATTTTACAGTTTTCCTTGCTTCAATGTCTTTTTAAAGATCACAAGAGAATATATTGATTTCTACATTATTTAAAAGTTTAGAAGCCATCCAGCAGCTCCATAAGTTCAGTGCCATCTCCATAAATAGTATCAAACTCATCTTCACTAAAATCCTGAATGGGATCTTGATTGATTGTTTGTGATTCAGATGTATCTTTGTTGGCATTGTAAAGCGATGTTATTTTTAAGTCAAGTTCTAATTCAAATAATGTAAGAAAGTCCTATACCAGCACTATGTAATCTGTTCAAACCTTTATTCCTGTTCGCCTCCGCCATATATTGCACCTCAGAAAAGCTAGGCTTATTTAACGGTCTTAAATTGCCGCCAACCTTTCCTTTCCTGGTAATCATTATCCCATGCATGGATATCAAACATCTGCAGGCACTCAGAATATTGTTCTGCCAATCATCCTTTGAACGCATTAGATCAGCCTCGCACAGACTTTCTAATGCCTCTGCGCATGCTTCACTGTCATCAAGGAACATTGGACAGTTTTCATGCAAGTAAGAGATAAATAAATCATTATCTACAGGAAGTCTGCCTAAAATATCCTGTCATTCATCCAAGTTAGTATTCTTCTATCAGGTAATCTCTTAGCGTCTTACCTCTGGTTTTGATTCATAATATCCATTCATATCCCTCTTTGCATAAAGTACCTTTCCTACTGCATGGAATAAAGACAAAGATCCAGTCGTTCTGCAGAAGAGACTAGCATCGTCATCTCTTCTTCTTTTTATTCCCAAGTATTTATTATTATCCTTGCTTGTAGAGTAAAATTGGAGCATATTAATTGCTGCTCGAATATCACCATTGCTTAGCTCTGACAGTTCATCTAATTGATCCTTTCCGATCTGAACATTTGCCTTTAATGCTGTTTTACTTAAAACCTTTTTTATTGCTGGTTTTGTAATTGGCAGGAACCTGTTGAACAAAATAGATGAGATGATAATTTTGGAGAATATGCTTATATCATACTCAATTGTCTGTAGTCGTTGATCAATGGATAATCCAGGCGGAATGAGATCTCGTATATTAACCAACCGTGTATCATAACTCCTTTGAACTGACTCAGTCGATAGCCAAACATCTGACACAATAAAGACAAGCAAAAATGGCACTGGGCTGTTGAGGCAGGTTTGTAGGATGGAATGAAATTGGTTCCTTACGGAATTAGTTGTAAGATCGGGCATGTCGTCAACCAAGATTATTTTCTTGTTGTATTGTTCGTCAAATGTAGATTGATGTATTGATTGATGCAAGAATTGTCTAAAGCGCTCCATGGGTGAATCTATGAAATGAATTAGTCATAACAAAAACACTCAATGTATATCCTACTTGAATGCTGGGTATTATAAGCTCTATTGTCGTCGTACGCCCATCGACTAGGTAACCATTCGATAAGTTTATAGCCATCTGATTTGGAAATGAGTCGTATGAGTGTACTCTTGCCACAACCAGATGGGCCAGTTAACATGAGTATTTTGACAGGTCCCTTTTGCTTTCCGATTGATGAGTTATTTATGGCCATTCTGACTTCCTTGATCCTTGCAGATCTAATCGCCAAGTCATTCTAAATCTAAGTAAGTAGTCAAAATCTAGATTACACAAAAAAACATTTACTTCGTGCTTTGGAGCATAAAGATCAGTCCAAAGACTATCATTATTGGTTTCAAGTAAGTCTATTCATGCGTCAATGCAATACATTAACTACGGTAAACAAGTTTAACTTACGTGAGCCCATAAAATCTGAAGCAAGATCACAAAGTGCACTTCTTTTCTGTTGAGTAGAATAAGACGGCAGAACGAATTTCTGTGGGTGTGTCTTTATGTTAGTTTGACTTTTTGCGTATATGATAATCCTTTTTCATACTGGACTGTTCTGTAAGCTCATTAAATAGCATGCATAAAATGCAGAAAAGGTGACAAGTTACTAGATTCGAAATTTGTGACCTTTTGTCCACTTAGGGAAAAAATAGCAACCTTGACGAAAAGACGACCTTGGATGTGGTTATTGTTGGAATAAATAACTTTTTAGAATAACCAAGAGGGAATGTTATTATGTCTCAATTTAACAGATAGACGTGATTTAAGATATATACCAGGGAAGGTAAGGTTGACCTTATTAAGATATGATAAATATGTCATCTACCAAATATACAAGCTCCACTTTCTAAAATTTATCTTTCTTTCTCTAAGACCCTTGATAAAGATGCCACGTCTTTTCAGAATCGCCATTGATGGGCCTGCAGCTTCTGGAAAAAGTAAGATATGAATAGTTAATACAAGAAATTAATCACGTTTCCTACTCTTAATCTATAGGTACCACAGCTAAACTATTAGCCAGTAGATTAGGGTTTACTTATATTGACTCTGGAGCCATGTTTCGGGCTGTAAGCAATACACATCAAATGACACATTCCTTGCTTTTTGACCAACATGAAGCACTTTATAAATATATAGATTACATTGAAATGCCAGCAAAACAACATTAATCCCACTGATCCACTCAATCAAGATCAAGTTGCACAGATTGCAAAGAACTCGCACATTTGTTTTCCTTCATTAGGCCAGATCGAACTAGACGGACACAATGTGAGCCACCTTATTCGCACTTCCAACATCACAAGAAATATTAATCTGGTTGCAGCAAATCCTCAAGTACGAAGTGCACTTGCAGAATATCAGCGTGCGATTGCAAGTGGACAAGTGCCAGAATCTATCTCTGAAGGATTTGAACATAAAGGTCAACGCATCAAGGGCGTTGTCATGGATGGAAGGGATATCGGAACGGTCATTCTTCCCGATGCAGAACTCAAAGTGTTCATCGAGGCTGATGTCTGGGTGCGTGCCCAAAGACGATTCGAAGAATTAAAGAACAGACAGGGAAACTCATTGAAGGAAACTCTGGATGATGTTAAACTTGACCTCGAAGCTCGAGATTTAGCTGATCGCACACGCAATATTTCGCCATTAAAAAAGGCAGGGGATGCGCTCGTATTGGATACAAGTAGTTTATCGATAGAAAAACAAGTAGGAATCATTCAAAATTGGGTCTATCAAAGGATTTCACAATAAATACACATATCCATTTTCAATGATTATGCATAATATTAAGTGTGGTGGGAATAAGCATACCAGCAAGAGTAATTAGTAGTTGTGTCGGTCGATTGACTTCGTTAGGCTTTGAATGTGATACCTCCTGTAATGCGTGCATGGCAACGAACAAGAACGTTCCGCCTGAAAATACCAGCAAAAGGCCAGAGAAGTACTCTATATCGGTCGATGTCACATTGGATGAAAATAAGCCCACTAAGAGATAGGTCAATATGGACCCTGTCGGTGCAGCCAGAGCAAATAGGATTAAATATTTTTGAATACTTGTCTTGGTTAATCCGCTGTTGAGTAGTAAAGAGGTCAATCCGAATGCGGCTGGCGCCTTATGCAGAATAATAGCTAAAAACACAATTACTGATAGCTCTGGGCGCGTCACACTAGCACCGAGAGCAATGCCATCTGCAGCGGCGTGGATTAGCAATCCCGTGACAGATGCTGTCGACATGTCATGACGATGCTGTTCTGAATCCCTTTCTCTTTCTCTTTCTCCAGATATTACTTCTAACTCTGAGTATTCTTGACCGTTCATTGAAGGCTTTGTCTTTTGAGAGCTTAGTTGATCAATGATGAACATGAGCGCAAATCCTACAATCAAGGCTATGCCCATTGCAGCGTGTCCATCGCCTTCTCCACTTGGATCACGTTTCTGTAGATGCTGTTGTCCAGTATTGTTGACTTGTAATGTACTCTTATATATCGCTTCAGTGCCTTCAGGGATGACAACCACCAAGCATGTGCCTATTAACATTCCTCCGCCAAAAGAACTCAGTAAGTGTACTTTCTTTTGAGATAGCTGAACAGCAAGTGGAAGTGACCCAGCAATGTAACTACCAATAAACATGACAGCACTCAAGATGATTAACCATGACAGTGGTTCCATCTAAAATGAACAAAGAAAGGAGAAAGAAAAAGAGATTAAAGTCCAGCCTAGTTATAATTATGCCGCATTTTTGCAATTTTTATAATACAATTTATACGAAAAACGACAGGTCAGCACGACATCTCTTTCTGGAAATAGTGTGTTTTAAGAATGATATTTAGATAAAAGCCTAAGCCACTCTTGCGAGCAAAGGCCGTACTCTATACGGCGATGTGAATTCGAAAGATAGCACAACCGTAATAATTCTTTCAGCGATATTTTGCTGGCTTCAACGACATATATAAAACCACTATATAAAAGCTTAATCCTTAAATAACTTGGAGCTTTTTTATTTTTCACTTGAACAGTAAGCTACCCTTTGATTGCTCTCCAAATGGTGTTTAAGAAGATGTTGTTCAAGAATAAGTACACATTTGATATGATTAATTATAGGTTCTTTTTTGGAGCCTTGTCAATAAGGCAAGAGTTAGTGGTTAAACTAGGGTGATGTTAAAGCAATAGTCGATCTTGTTTAAATTAAATTACCTTTTTCTTTTGTAAGCTGTCTAGAAATTTTCAACTTTAGTTGCATGTTTTGCTATGAAAGTCTACTACAAAGCCAACCAATGAGGAATGAAGACTGATGCTCTCCTTAATATAACTTCCTTAAAATAATTCATGCAACCAAGGAATTTTTTTGTTTTCAACTCAGGAACGCTTTCAAAGTCACAATGTAAACAAACCAAAAACTATAAAAGGAGGCTCTTATTCCAATCTTTTTTTTTCTCTACACTCGAACTCTATAATTTGCCCAATTCCGAGATTGAAGAAATGTTCCTAGAACATTGCCGGATGTTGAAGTGTCGGGCAGCTGGCCTTTCCCGCTTCGGAGGGAGAGCAAAGGTTTTTATTTTTCTTCTCTAAGCAATATGCATTTTTTATTATTAGAATTGATTTAAATAAAAAAAACTAAATTTTGGGTATACTTTTCAAAGAAATTTGAGCGAATTTTTTGCTTTCATTTATTATTGGGACAGTGTATTATTGTTATTCAATGAATAAATGCCTAAAGTCTAGTCCAATGCGCCCAAGAGATATGGAACAGTATTCAAGTTGGGTCAATAAAGAATTTTTAGTGGCCTCATCTTCTATTAATGGTAGATATTCATTTAACGTTGACCGAATGAACCCAATAAGATGCACCATATAATCAGATAGCAGTGGCCCTTGCTCATGCGGAAAGATCCAGATATACTGCGTGCCAATTTCAAACATCTGCTCTCGCAGCACATCAATAAATCGTTTCATATATTCTAAACTGTCTCTACTTCTCTGCTTTGGATCCTCAGGCATCTCTCGCTTTATCCGTGACAGTCTTTGCTGCAAGTGGTCATGCCTACAACGTAAAAATACCATTCTGAGTTCATTTTCTGATTCAAACACGTCCATACGTCGAAGAAAACCGATGGCGTTCATTGCTGCTGCCAGTCTAATAGGTTTTCGCAAGTGTGAGATCAACTGTACCAACATGAGGTCAAAGCATGCCTGTACTTGCTGTTGAATGCTCGATATAACCGAAAGCGGGTATCTGACTGATAACAGACGAACATGAGAGGCCAAGTCCATAACCTCTGAGTAGTAGCCGTTCCAAACACAGGTTTCCATAAGCTGAGGAATCTCTAGTAGTTCCGTTAGGACATCTTCATGATCTAGAACGCAGCTGATTTTATGTTGTTCTTCCTTGATTGATTTTGAATCTTGCTTAAACGTGTTGCAAGCTGCTTCTAGTTCATCTGCACATTTTTGAAATCCGTTTAAATCGTCATCAAGTTCACCAAGCAAGCTTGATATCTGTTTAGTGCACGCTTGTGAGTCTAGGAATGAAGGGTAATTGCGAAAGACAAGACGTTGCGCATTCTGCTTTGCCTTTTCTTGTTCTTCTTTCAATTGAGCAGATTCTTGTTGTAGTTCTGATAAGGACAATGTTGTCAACATTTCAATGTAATCGTGAGCCTTTTTGGCCTTGATGTCGTCGTTGTCTCCTAATAGTAGAGAAATTAAATCGGTATGGCCATCTATAGACATGACAAAGAAAGTTAAAAGGCGCACAAAAAAAAAAAAAAAACGCTATTTTTATTAAAAAAGGTCTTCCTTGGCATGAATAAAATTAACAATAGTTTCGTTCATTTTTGTAGATATGCCTTTCTGCTTCCCAAGCTTACAAATATACCCATTGAAATAATCAATCTCTGTCAATCGTTTGTTTTTTATGTCTTGTAAGGTCGAACATGTATTTTCTTTTGCCTCGTATGCCATTTCAAGAACCATTTTCATGGTTGAATCCAAAGTTTCATCTGGTAAATCATCTTTAAATAATTCAAAAGCTTCTTCGCAAATAGATCGCATGATTGTCTGCGCATGGGGATGCAGCACTCCTCCGTTTTTACAACCAAGTATAGTCGCAACTGGATTGATGGTTGAATTGATAAGGAGCTTCTTGATCATCTTGACATATGCTTGCTCCCAGGGCAACAACGTTGCTCGAAACTCGGGTATACCTACTATAGTTTGTGCCAAACATTGATCCAGTGGTTTGCCTGATACAGGATGCTGTGCTAAGACTAGGCTTTCAGGAGCATCATAACCTGAATGATGTTGAATGTCATAGGGAGCCAACCTTTCTATTGCATGTCTGTTTATTCCGACGATAATTGACGGAGGCTTTGTCGCCCGCCAGACGCTATCCAGGAGTTCATCAACGACACCCATGCCGTTTTGCAGAAACAGGACAGTACTTGATGATGATAGCTGAGAGACCACAGATGAAACGGCCTCGAATGTATGCTGTGATTTTGTAGTGACAATAAGAGACGTGATTCTTTCTGTGTTTTCCTTTGTTTTTACTGCTTCGACGCCAGAAATGTGTTCTATATTTCCTCGAGAACGATAAGTGATTCTATTGTGATGCTTATTAAATTCTTCCATTTTAAGACTGGAGCGTAGCAATAGGGTCACTTTATGATTATGCTTTCTTAACACACTCGCTACATGGCAACCAATAGCGCCAGCTCCAAGAATATGAATGGTCATATCTTGCAAGAAGATTAATGAAAGTCAAAACCAAATCAAATCAATAAGGGAAGCCATATTTGACTGTGGAAGATATAGAAGTCGGATAAGGAGATGTCTGTTTTGGAGTCCTTTTTGATAGAAATAGAAACCTGTGGAGGTAACACTGTGTTGCCTTTACGGTTACTTTAAAATTGACAAAGAAATATTGTCAATAGAGCACATTCTGAGGCCATTTTAACGATTGCGAATGTTAATAGAGGGTACAAAGTGTTATTTTGTCTATAATATAGTCAAGAAAAGATTAAAGACCAAGAGTTTATAAGCCAAAATGTAATTTAGGCCTCAGTACCAAACTATACCAAATGAGGACAAGTACCACTGGCGTGACCAGAGCCAGCAGCTTTCCATCAATTTTGACAATCTGTCCTTCATATTCATCATCCTGCGCTACTGTAAGTATGGTTACTACTTTTTTTTTCTTATCCATGACTCAATTTTCTCTTATGAGCGCATAAAAATACCTCAAAGTTTTGAAGAAAACAGGATCTTTCAATGTATTATAATACCAGTAGTGAAATTGAAGCTTTAGCTGGTAGCACGGAAACTAGAGGCATTTTCTTGACTGTTGTAAACTTTGAAGTTGCTGTGTACCCGACACAAAGAAGCATATGCATTTCGTACTCAGTTCCATTTGAAACTTCTGCTTCTTTTATATAGCCTCTCTGACAACAACCTATTAATGCTTTCTCCAGTAATCTGTGATATTTGTATAAGATAAAATATTCAGACGTAAAAGTCAACAGGACGATAGAGTAATTTTTTATAGTGTATGTCCTATTGACTTACATATGGCTGCTAATGCGTAAGGGCTTTATTTTTCTTGGTTCAAATTTTCATCAATAAGAACTAGAGAGTCATATCCCTCAACTCAAAAACAAGACTGGATCATGACACTGTCCTCACCAAATTTGATAATCCTTTAAAGGTGAGAACACTCGTAGCGTTCGTTTTGCTTCCTCAAATCTTTTAATACCTGTCGATGTTGTTTGGAATCTAAGATTTTTTTTTGGGAAAAAGGATGTCAAGCCATGCAGTGAATATGAAATTGAATAGAGTTACTTACGTTCCCCTGGAAACATTCTCAGGAAATTGAAAACGGATTCGCCAAAGGTGTCACACTCGGGGGCTATCTTTTGTTGCATTGTATTCAGAGATAGTTTCTTGAGTTACAAATCATCAAGTTAGATGTGATCTATTGTATATGACTGATATTGTCAGACATTTCATTGTTAACCATCTTTTCAATAAAGTGCTAGTTAAACCACAGAATTACACTTTTTATATCTATCTATTTCATACGGCATATTCTCGACAACGGAATATCATTCGTACTCCCAGCAGGTGTTCAGTAATTGAGAGTCTACTGTAGTCACTTCTTTATTCATTCTTTTGCTTCTTGTGGGCTCTTTTATTATTATTTGTCACCTGAAATTATCATTTTTCTATCAGTGTGCGAATAGCTTCTGAATAAAGGGTAGTTCTAACTTTAACCACACTTGAGGTAATGTTTAAACTGCTCTCTTAGAAGATACAGAATCAAGGCTAGTTAGCACAGAGGATCATATTTCTATTAAAAAGACTCACTGATAGCTGCATTATAATGCAGCAGACGTGAATGACGCCGGGCAGTCCCATGTCCGGCTAGCCTGACTATTAAAATTGACAATTCTTAGATTTGATTTGGTTTTGACTTTCATTAATCTTCTTGCAAGATATGACCATTCATATTCTTGGAGCTGGCGCTATTGGTTGCCATGTAGCGAGTGTGTTAAGAAAGCATAATCATAAAGTGACCCTATTGCTACGCTCCAGTCTTAAAATGGAAGAATTTAATAAGCATCACAATAGAATCACTTATCGTTCTCGAGGAAATATAGAACACATTTCTGGCGTCGAAGCAGTAAAAACAAAGGAAAACACAGAAAGAATCACGTCTCTTATTGTCACTACAAAATCACAGCATACATTCGAGGCCGTTTCATCTGTGGTCTCTCAGCTATCATCATCAAGTACTGTCCTGTTTCTGCAAAACGGCATGGGTGTCGTTGATGAACTCCTGGATAGCGTCTGGCGGGCGACAAAGCCTCCGTCAATTATCGTCGGAATAAACAGACATGCAATAGAAAGGTTGGCTCCCTATGACATTCAACATCATTCAGGTTATGATGCTCCTGAAAGCCTAGTCTTAGCACAGCATCCTGTATCAGGCAAACCACTGGATCAATGTTTGGCACAAACTATAGTAGGTATACCCGAGTTTCGAGCAACGTTGTTGCCCTGGGAGCAAGCATATGTCAAGATGATCAAGAAGCTCCTTATCAATTCAACCATCAATCCAGTTGCGACTATACTTGGTTGTAAAAACGGAGGAGTGCTGCATCCCCATGCGCAGACAATCATGCGATCTATTTGCGAAGAAGCTTTTGAATTATTTAAAGATGATTTACCAGATGAAACTTTGGATTCAACCATGAAAATGGTTCTTGAAATGGCATACGAGGCAAAAGAAAATACATGTTCGACCTTACAAGACATAAAAAACAAACGATTGACAGAGATTGATTATTTCAATGGGTATATTTGTAAGCTTGGGAAGCAGAAAGGCATATCTACAAAAATGAACGAAACTATTGTTAATTTTATTCATGCCAAGGAAGACCTTTTTTAATAAAAATAGCGTTTTTCTTTTGGGAATCATTTAGCACACGCGAAAATACTGATCTATCAAATGGCTGGTAAGCCACGATTCTAAGCGTGTATTATAATTACTAATGGTTCTTGAATTCATAAAGAAAGTCTAATTGTTCATTTCATGATCTGGGTTATGGTGCTGCTTTTACCATTAGAACGATTATCTTTTACAGAAGTGCATCCTTTTATATAAAGAAGTAATGATTTATATTCAAAGGAGAGATTCTATTTAGTTTGACTTGTTATTGAAAGTGTGTACACATAACCTCATATTGTATGAATTCACTCTATTCATACTGACTACAGTCGTTTATCAATGTCAGTTATAAGCAGATATTGTTTTACGATAATGGATACTGTTTTCAATAGCCACGGCACTCTGCGTATCTCTAGTATGAGTATTCTGGTCTGCTTTTAGAGATGTACAGACTAGATTCACGCAAACAAAATCGCCATTTACATTTTTTAAATTGACACGGTCATTTTTGTCTATTGTCTTGCGATTTGGATGTAATAGCTTTTTGAAGCAAAAAACACATGTTTGCGATGTATTATGTTTGCTTGCTACACAAACAGAAGTGTAGTTTTTCAGCATCCTTCGAATCTCTGGTAACCTTTTGTGGACGATCCAAAGCAGAGCTCACTATCTCCAATAAACATGATTGATGGCTTCTTACTGCTCGAGGTCATATAGGATCGTTTTTGAGAACATAGCCTGTCGATGTACTTTCGCTTCTGCAACTCATATATTCGTAATTGACGTACTCTTTGTCACAGGTAATAGAAATCTCAAAGTACGCCTTGTTACGTGATTCTTCCATTATGCCAATTGACAATATCTTGGCTGTATATCATTAAAGTGCGTACTGCAAAATGATCTCATACGATAAATTTAAGTATTTCTGATGTAAATACGACAATGAGATCTTTCTTGAATCATTTGTTTCTTCTGCACAACCACAAATTTCATGGCTATCGCTGTCCTTGAAGAAAGGTTAAGAGAGCCAGAAGGGCCAGCCAATACAATTCGAGTAAGAGAGCTAAGATAAATGGAAATAACCAAATGACCATAGCAAGCTGTCCCTTGTCATCTTCTTTTGGATTATCCAAAATGGTCCTAGTTTATTTAAACTGATAGTAGCTATCTTGTAAATCCTTTGCAAAAGCAATGCTTTGAAATTCCTCTGGTCCGTATGAGAAGCAATACATATTTTCATATCTGGATTAAAGTCCGCTCTTCTTCTTTCAAAGCTTCCTTGTTGCGATCGCATTCTTTTGCGACCTCCAAGATTTTGGGTGATGCCTCATAAATCTAATAGGATATACCATGGTAGTTTTTGACCTTGCTACTGTAGCATATTGAATTAGGGACAACTTGAATAATAGAGTTGAATAACACTTTAATGGTCTTTGCTTTTCAGATATTCTCTTGATTGACGGATCTAAACATTGTGGGTATACAAGCTCTCCTGGTGTTGTTAAGGAACTACTTGATCTTCCTATTTCTCATCCCTTGAGATGGTTCTTCTTTTTGACATCATTGAAATAGCAACATTGTCATTTTTAACAATGTTTATTGTTGTTTTGTTATTCAAGGTTTTTAAACAGAAGGCATTCGGTCAATCTTTTTTCTTTATTTGTTGCATGTAAAAATTGTTATCATTGGAAGTTCTGCTTGTAATTGCTGTGCAATCAGCATGTATTGAAGATTATGAATACTCTTTCCAAATTAGGTGAAACGTATAGAAAGCGATGGAAAGCGGAAAAAAAAGACCCAATCACTCCCGGAAAAAAGTGTAAGCGTCTTTCTCAAGCTTATGTTTGGGAATGACTAAACAGTAATAATTGTTACACAAGCAAATGCTTAACAGATATCAAAAATACCCCACAAACAAAAAATACCCTTTTCTTTTTCATAAATAAATAATATGCCTCATGTAAGCAGATATTACCATATAAAGAATACGTTACTTATGTACATCATAGACACCCAAGACTCCTGTTGACCCTAATGCACCTGGTCCAATGCTTCGTTTCCAAAGCAACCTTCCTAAATTACCTGTTCCTGACTTGAATGAAACCCTTCCCAAGTATTTAAAGAGTATACGTCCTCTTTTGAGTGACGAAGAGTACAAGCGCTCAGAACAAGCTGTAAAGGAATTCTTAGCCCCTGGAAGCTTTGGTCATGAGCTACAGAAGCGTCTTGTTGCTCGTGCTAATGATCCCAGCATTGTCAATTGGATGGAAGATTGGTGGTTAGACCAAGCTTATATGGGTTATCGTGATCCTGTCGTTGTCTATGTCTCTTACTTCTTCGCATATAAGGATGATAAACTGAGAAGGGTGCCTGCTCAACGTGCTGCCGCCATCACAACAGCTGCTCTCGAATTCAAAAAACTGATTGTTACCAAAACGCTCGAACCTGAGTATGCAAAGGGCGAGCCTATGTGTATGGATTCTTACAAGTACATGTTCAACAATTGTCGTATTGCACACAAGCCTAGTGACCTCAAGGCTACTTTTGATCCCATCAAGAATACCCACATCATTGCTATTCGCAAGAACAAGTTTTATTTTATTGACACTGTTTACAAAGGTCAACAATTGAGCACCAAGGAGTTTGAACAACAGTTCCAACGTGTCATTGATGATGCTGGCGACATCAAGGGAATTCCTATTGGCGTTTTGACCTCTGAAAACCGTGATAAATGGTGTGATGTAAGTGATAAGCACGCATACACTGTAGCATATACTTATTCGTTATTAGTACCGAGATGACTTGTTGGCAGCTAATCCCAATAATAAGAAGATTATGGACAAGATTGAAAGTGCCTCATTTGTCGTCTGTCTTGATGACTTGACGCCATTTACCAGGGATGAACTTGTTCGTGCCTGCTGGCATGGAGATGGACGTAACCGTTTCTTTGATAAGCCTTTGCAATTCATTGTGTTTGACAATGGCAAAGCTGGTTTCATGGGTGAACATTCTTGTATGGATGGTACAGCTACTTGCCGCTTAAATGAATATGTTTGTGATGGGTAAGACAAAAGATGAATATAGATTGGCAGATTCTCACAGGGTATATTTTCTTTTTATATAAAGACTTGCTAGAAATCTAGTCAATCACGGGTCTGATCATGTGCGCACGGATATCCCCCAACCCGAGCAACTTCAATTTGTATTGAATGGCAAGGTCGAAAAAGCCATTGAGACAGCCGAGAAGGATTTTGATGAATTGATTGGTAACCATGAAATGACCGTTTTGGCGTACAATGCATTCGGAAAGAACTTTATCAAGAAAATGAAATGCTCTCCCGATGCTTTTGCGCAGATGGCTATTCAACTTGCCTACTACAAAATGTTTGGTACCTCTCGTCCTACTTATGAGTCTGCTCAGACACGCAAGTTCCAACGTGGTCGTACCGAGACCTGTCGTTCGGTGTCTGCTGAATCCATTGCGTTTGTCAAGGCGATGGAAGATCCAAATGCTTCAAGCCAAGAAAAGGTCGCCAAGTTACGTGCTGCCTTGAAGGCTCATGGCCAATACATGGGGCAGGCAGTCAATGCACATGGTGTTGATCGTCACTTGTTTGGTTTAAAGAACAGTTTGAGAGAAGGAGAACAAAAACCTGAGCTGTTCACAGACCCTGCATTTGCTTATTCCTCTCATTGGTATTTGTCTACGTCTCAATTGACCTCTGAACATTTTGATGGATATGGCTGGGGCCAAGTAGTCAATGATGGCTTTGGTGTTGCATACATGATCAAGAATAATGCTCTTCAATTTAATGTTGCCAGTGTCAGGGATCTTGAAGTGCATGGTAAGAAATACATTAATGGTACACATCGTTTCAAGCAAGCATTAGAAGAGGCTTGTGATGATATGCGAGACACACTCTTGGCAGAAGCTCCTACCCAAGCCAAGTTGTAGGCGCATATATAAATATATTAGAAATTTGTACAAAATATATAGTATGTTTTTATCCTTAGACACATGAAAAAGAGTGGTTATTTTTGAGTAGCTTATCTTCACTAAAGACAATCCTATTTCCGAAAAGGGGGACAAGCGAATATGTTGGAATGCATTAAAATATGCGTATGATAATTATAAAAGGAAGAGAGGGAAAAAAAAAAGGATGCTTTTCTTTTTCTTTTTCATCTTTCTATTCTATCTGATTGTGTATTAAATGATTGAAATAAGCTATAGATGCCTTAAAAGTTACTACTAATCATAAACTAAAACGAAGAGATTAAGCACAAGTAAGTTCCTTTTATTTTCTACATGCTTAAAGATCGTGTCCTCTTCATAAGCAATGTTCTTTTCAGTAAAATCACAAAAGGTGTAGAATATATAATATTATTTTTTCTTATACGAGTATACAAATGATCAATTGAAGCTTTATGACCAAGTCAAAAGTTAAACCAACTATTAACAATAAATGGGATTATAAAAGGAGAAAGAGAATTTTGACAGATGTTTATAAAAAAGAAAGACATTTCTTTTCTCTTTCTCTCTCTCTTTTAGCCCTGTATGCTTGTTTACCACAATGATATAATCTCATTCAGTTGCATACAGCAAAAAAAAGGGGATGGGGCAAACAATGCCCTACAAAAATTTTTTTGGCGCGTCGAAGGGCGGAGAAACAAATATTAGGCGTGCAAAAAGAAGACATTTTTCTTTATTTCTTTCCTTCTTTTTCTCTTTCATTTTTTTGTATACAATACAAATAACAATAAAATGAGCTCAAATGCTTCGAACAACAAGCCGACTATAGCTGAGCTACATAAGATATTAGCAACTGGAAAAAGTTTAGACCAAACTATAACAAAAGAGCTTGGATATCCTGATCTTACCGACTTGTTTAGTAAATAAGAAAAAATACTGCTTGTGCGTGTCTCGAACTCACAATCTATATAAAAGGCACAGGTGCTTCAGACGTATATACAACTTCGTTTGCTAGCTTGAAGCAAGAGCTTGTTTCCATCACTGACAAGCAGTTCCCCGAACAAATTAAGTCAAAAATTGATGGTTTGTATATGTCTCTTTATTTTACTACTATACTCACCCCTTTTCTTTATATACAAAGAAACTCGTTGTCGTAGTTTTGTTGGAATATTAAAAGAAATTAAGCGAGCATGGATTAGTCTTGATCATTGCTTATATTTATGGGATTACAATACAGGGTAAAGTGGGTGTGTGCATGTCAAAGAGAATACTGTTTATTTATCACCATTGTCTTAGTGGGGATATATGTGAATATGTGGATCAAGATCAACCAATTACCGCTGTAGGCCTTGTAAAGCCTAAACCAGGTAAGAACAATGCACCATAATTGATAATGAATTCAATTAATATATCCTATGTTTGGCAGGTGTATTCAACCCCAAAATTGATTATCTTTTGATTGTTGCCACTGCACTACAAATTATTCCGCTCGGCATAAGTGTATCAGAACCTACTCAACTTGGAGAACAATCAGTTGTGAATTTGATAGCGGTCAATTTGGCTATTCCGAGTGATGACATTAGTATGAGATCAGTCGTTGGTACAACTGATGGAAGAATATTTATGGTTGGAAACCCAACTGGAGACGAAACAAACAATACGGGACATCTGTATGAATTAGTTTACAATGTAGGTTTGAGCAATGAAAAGGAAAGGGGGCAGTTTATAAACATACTATAGGTACCTACTAAATGGACTGGACCCCTATGTCAGCTTGTTTGTAGAACAGAAAATATACTCAACAGATTCTTGCCAACACCCTTAAAGATGAAATCAGATTCACGCGTAAAAAGTGTAGTGATTGACAGTGAGCGTAAAGTGCTGTATATTCTTAATTTTGATTCAAGTATTGAAGTGGGTTTCTTTCTTCTTTAATGACGCGTTTTACTTACTCTTCTTATAGGTTGTTTACATTGGAACTCATGAATACACTCCAGTCATTAAATATAAAAGCGTTATTGAACATGCACAAAATATGTGCCGTCAGCATCAAAGAGTCTGCGATCCAGAAGAATTTCTAATTTCATCACTGCACATCATCCCTAAAAAGGAGTCCCAAAAGATCTATTTGATGGCGATGACAACAGGTGGTTTCAGGCTCTATTTCAGTGGACATGCAAATGTACTTCGCATGTATGCACCTGTCAGTGGAACGACCGATAGACCAAGTACATTAGAACTAGTCCATGTCCGCTTCCCTCCGGCAGAGGCTAACTTACATCCAGATGAGCCAAAGGCAAGCTATCATACAACCTATTACAGCCGCGGTACCTGTATATCGGCAAAGGCCAACAAAGAGTTTGATTCAGTTCATATCACGGCTCTTGCGTCCGTACAACAAGAGCAATCGAGCGCTATCAGCTTTGGTTATACAGTAAGTTTTGGGGAAAGAGCATACGTCCACAGTGCATTTACAATGTTTTTCTGTAGAATATCAATAGAATGCCTTTTATCGAAACAGCTGCTTCCACCGATACGAAATTTAGAATTGCAGCTATAGATGAGATCATGACTGGAAACGAACTGCGTGAATTGGCTCAACAGCTTTCAGATCCTCAGAGAACATTTGTGGCAGTATCCATTGGTTCTATATGCGCCTACCACAAGAAGAGGCCTGTGGACATACTCGAGCGTCTTATAGCAAACTATCGACCTTCAAACGAGAGTCAACGAAAGGAAATTATGACATTTTTTGATGAGTTCGGTAAAGCAGAGACATGTGCCATGTGCCTTTCGATCATCTGTGATAGCGGTGATAAACAAACCATTGATACAGCAACGTATCTGTTTTTTGAATACGGAGGCGTGCCTGCCGCAAGTAAGGCTAATCAAGCGCCGAACAACTATTTAGCACATGCCGATACCATGAGCGGAGTGACCTATAGTGGGAAGCATGATGGTTTTGTTCTGTTTTTAGCCCGACTCTTAGGACCTATTTGGACAACAAAGTTATTTGTACCAAGGTAATAGAAAAAAAAAAAAATAGGAAATGGGTTTATTGATGACTAACAAAATATTACAGTAAGGATGGGAAAATATATGTCAATAGTTGCAGTAAAGAAGACAATCCATTCATTACGGTCAGACGAAAGCTACTTCGACTCAAGACATTTATGGATGCGCACAAGGGTTTCCATGATCCTGCCACCATTTCTGATCCTCGCTTCCAAACGCTTGATTCTAAAATATTAGCTCTTTACTTGGACGAACAACGATCTGTACACGAACTCTATTTATTCCTTTTACAATGCATCGATTCTATTGAATTTTCCGTCTTCTTATGGGACGCTAATACACGAAATACCCTTCAACGATATATATCTGTCGATACACCAAGTTTGTTAAAAGACTTGGACATCAAGATGATGCTCACGATGCAGGAAGGTCGCGACTTTTGCCACGAACTTGTCATCACGGCCGTCGATGAGGTCACTGTGAAGAACGCCGCAGCGTTTAATGAAACTGTCTCAACCGATCTGCAACAACGATGCCCTGTATTCTTTAGTCGTGGTGACTTTTTTTTCTTTAGAGTAAGTCTTTATTTTATATATATATGTCACTAATGACAACCTGTAGGGCGTGGAGTATATCCGACGAGCGCTGCACGAAGATTCAGAAAACGAAAAAAGATTCTTTTTACAGCAATCACTTTCACAGTTCCAACAAGCATCTGATCAAATATCCGAGGCTCATATCAGCAGCATCTGTTCCTTCTATCAAGCACAATCCTTCCATGTTGGCGTTGTCGAACTCATGCTGGACCGTGCTCAAAAGCTTGATCCTCAACAGCAAGCACTCGCTGTATTTGAATCTGGAGGGCAAGGAGACGAAGCGAGCAAAGCACTCTATGATGCCCGCACAAAAACATACAACTATATCTTTTTGGCACTCAAAGATGCTAGATCACTACTACAACCCAAGATAGACATGGGCAGACGTGTGCCCATTGCGGACAAGGCCGTCTATGTGAAGCAGGTGTTTGAATCAGCGCTCCAGAACAAGGACCCATTGTTCCATTATAAGCTCTACTATTGGTACATTAATGAGAACATGACGGATGAATTATTGGCAGTCGACACTGAATTCTTAGTGCCCTTCTTTTCCAAGGTCGTTCAGGACGAATACATCTCACTCAATTTCCTATGGCAGTACTACCGAGGCAAGACACAATTTTACAAATCTGCAATATGTCTTACACGACTGGCGGAAATGCCAAGTGATCAAATTACATTAGAAGCACGCATGAAATACCTGGCATACGCTCGCGTCAATTGTCGATGTGGTGAAAAGGAAACAGATATTTCCAACTACACTCGTGTACAGTTGGCTGAACGAATCGATACACGCATGAATGCATGTCGCCTTCAGATACGTATTCAGAATATATTAAAAAATTCTGGCAATATAGATGCGATTGCCGCTGCAAAAGAGTTAGACTATCAGTTATTTGATGACGAACGTAAATTATATTCATATGCCGAAAGATTTCCTCAGTTACAAGACTTGTTTAAATCAATATAAAATAAAGAAATAAAAAAAAAGAGAGGACAATAATAGATGGCTTTGTTGTAATATTGTATTTATTGACTAGTGGCTTCGGCATACGTTCTACGTAAATCCAATTCGAGATCCTTGGACTTCATCAAGAGCACCTTATTTTAATGTTAATAAGACCATTCGACCTTTATACGCGCATTTACCTTGGGAAAAATGTGCTCAAGCATGAGGATCGCCTTTTTTTTTAATTCTGCATTCTTTGATCGAATATATATTCTTACTAACTTGATAACAGCGATATAAAAGTTTTTTGTATTGTAAGCTAACTTGCTTTGCGTCATCGCCTTCTGTAAGATGGGTATAGCTCCATTATGATATCCCATTTGCTATAGAAATAAAGATATAGATGTGGTACTTGTTAATGAAACTCACTTACTATGTACGTCTCTGCTTTCATAATCAACACAGTATCCAAGCCAGAGGCATTGTCCCTTTTCTGTATTTGATCCTGGATGCAGTCTAATATGTCAAGAGCGCTTTCAAATTCTCTATTATCAACTAACGTTTGAACATTTTTATATATCCCATTCAGATACTCGTCTGAATTAGGTCCTAGTGTTGAATATAGTAATCCAGATTGTATATCCAAGTATTTTCTAGACACAAAAAGAGGGATGGGTTCTCCTTCATAAAATATATATGTATATATACCTTTTTTTATTATGCGTCTGGTTAAGAAGGCTGGCCCGTGTCATTTTCCAATCCATTAATAGTACACTTTCTTTAGGATACTGTCTTGTAAACATGTCTATCAGGCCAATTGCCATTTCGGACTCGCCGGCTAATTCAAGCTTATATATAATGAGCTATAACGATTTACCAAGTCTGTGTAAAATACCATTTTTGCATTTAAAAGAACCGTCTTTTCAATATCTTCAATGCGACTATCTTTTACGCTCTTGGCTAGTTCCAAGTAAGATGATACGAGTGTGCTGTTACCTAGACATAAAGACATAAATAAAAGTAGAATCATAAAGAATTTAGCAACTTACCACAACGAAGCCATGCTAGGGCAGTGATAAGGCACTGTACACGATCCATCTGTTCGATATCTTTCATGATGATATTAATAGATGTCTTGTATAATATCTCAAAGATATGTCTATTTGAGTCACCCTATAGCAACATACTATTAGACTAGTTTTACTTGCAAACAAAACCATACCCTGCAAATCATATCACGTGCAAGAGTCAATGCTTTCATGTTGTTCAAGTAATCATTTGTAAAGGAACTGCTGCCTTGAAAGTAATGATTTTTTCGACATGTTTCTATCCAACTACGCAATCAAGTTAATCATAGAATCACTTAATTTTTTCTTTCTTACTATTGAATTTCTTGCAGACAGTATTCATCCTTATTTTTCCTTGCCGCTGTTAGAGCATCATTAAAGGCCTAACGGACGGTTTAGTAAGAGTAAATGAAAATCCCATGTCTTACAAATAGTGCATCAGAAAAGTGACCAAACTTGTATTCCAAGATGCCAAGGTTAAGCAAAGCGTATTGAATCTCACTATAAGAATAAATAGTCAGTACCTTTTCCTTTTTTTTTTT